ACCTTTCTTTGAATATAATCAAATTACTGCACTATATATTAACTCATTCCCCTTCGTAAGGGGTGACAGAAATAATCGTGGAAGAAATTCATGAATTTAGATAAGTAGAAAAAAAACTTATAATATGTAGCACAAGTTATGAAGTTCTAGAAAAAAGCGTCTACATATTTTAGAGCAACAGTTTAATAGAATGATATTTACTGTTCATCCCCTCAATCCCTTGCTTGTTATTGTTGTTGACTGAGGCCCAATGTAGGGGACCACCCCTACCTTAGACCAGAGCCCTCCTCTAACTAATTTTGCATGGTCTTTTCTTTTCCCCCTTTCTTTTTCCTTCTCTTCTTTATGGGGACCCTGAGGGATAGACTTTTCTTTTCTCCACTTATTTCAGGCTCACCTTACTAGGGGCATTAAGGCTTGTCCTTGTATTTTCAAGCCTAAGTTTGACGTCATTGGTTTCCCGATCCCTTCTTTCTTGACTATCATGAAGTGGCATTACAATGCTACACTATTCCTCCCAGAGGCCAGTGTAAGTCCTATACTATTTCCTCATTGATTCCATAAATCTTGGCGTTTTGGCCACGCAGCCATACACTGTCGCTTCACAGCCCACTGCCCTCGATATGCCCTGTTCATGACCGTTCAATTTGCTCTGCTGATTCACGTATGTGAGCCATTTGTAGTGGCATTTCCCCCAGTATCTCTTCCCTCTTCCCAGACCATCATATGTCTACTCCCCCTCTCCCCAAGTCAAATTCCTTTTGCAGTCTAAATCCAAATTCTCCAATCTCTGCCACTTCTCTGATGCCTACCCCTCCTTCTCACTTTAACTGTTGCGCTAAACAACCTAAATATTCCCCTCCATCTCCACCTACCACATCCTCTCGTACACCCTACTCTTCCTCTGCTCCTTGAACATCTATCCTCTCTTCTCCTCACAAGAGAATCTTTGTTTCTCAGACCTCCCCTCCCAAGTCCCCTCCAGAAACTCTTAAAGTCATCTAAAACTTCCATAACCCAAGAGAATGACCCGTTCCCTCATCCACTCTCCAACCCCTCTATTCCTATTCCCTCTACATTTAAAGTATTTGCGACATCCATCCTCAAATTACCCCTACCCCTCTTCCTCCCACTCTCTTCCAACACACCCCATCCTTTCCTCCATGGGCACCATTCCTCCTTCGTTCCTATTATCCTTACTTCACAACAGTGTCCTCTAGATCCCTACCCTCCTGACATTCTTCCTGATACTTAATCACCTTCCCCAGTCCCCTTACCTCATTCCCTAATACTTACTTCATTTGCACCCCTTCTTTACCCTTTTCAATACCATATCCTATATTGCTGTCTAGCCTTTGACCTAAAACACATTTTATCCTAATCGTTAACTCATTTTTAACTTTTTGCCAAAATACTTTTCCATAGTGCTACATGATATTTGATGTCTAGCATATTAATTTGTTTTAACCATTAATCATCTACTATTCATAGAAAAGATAGGCATTCAGTATTTTCAGTTTATATTGAAAATAACTTGCAAATATAAATGCTCTTCGGACATCCCGGGAATGGCCATCATACAATTATAAATAGCCAGTATTTATCTTCTAAACAATAATAAACCTATTAGTATACTTTAATTAATCCTTTTGGTCAGCACAGCTTGACAATTTATGATATCTGTTGGCGACAAGTTAATTATCAAGAGAATTTCACTGTAATCACTCATTTTTTTGCCATGTCGGTTTGTTTTACTATTGTGATATCATAAAACTAGCAAGTTTCCTCTGAATGTAATTTTAAAATGTTTGGTTTGGTTACGAAATCAAACCAAGATATCCAGAAAAAAAGAAAAGAAGGATTTAACAAGATGTTCCATTTTTTTCAAGATATCTTGATATATCTTGCCTTCAGCAATGCACTTTAAGACATATGCGTATATATGCATGTTTTACTTATAAACTGACTGCCACAACCTCCCCCTTGAAAGTGATGAAAGCATGGAAGCCAGGGATGCGAACGATACGTGCTAAATGGACAGAAAATAATGAAAGTAGAGATTTAGTGAATACGTGATTATAAAAAGACACGCGAGGGGCCTTTAGGGGGGTCGTGGAGGAGAGAGAGAGAGAAAGGGAAACGAGTCGCGACGGCGGGAGAGGACGGGAGAGGACGAGCACCGGAGAGACCCGGTAGCGAGAGAGAGACGAAGAGAGACGATGATGTACGAGACGCTCGGAATGAGGAGACTACGAGA